ACCGTGTTAATGAAGCGAACCGTTTTTGAAAATCTTTTTTCGTTTTTGAGATATTTATATTCGAAATTAGGGGTTAAAATAAAAATCACTTTTTGTGCGGAAATAAAATTAATTTTTATTTCGTGTACCAATTTCTTAACAATTATTTAATTTTTTCGTAATTGTCAACATCCAATTGTACAAAGCGTAAACTTTGTTGAAGTCCTTCAAAAATATTTTTTTTAATTCCAATTTTAAACACTTAACTACTTACTTTTGCTGCAGCTACATGGGATAAGCTACCAAATAAAGGCAATTCCACCATGAGGACCTTTTGGCTCATAGAGAGCAAAATTAAAACGTCTTTTCGAGTTGAGACATCGGCTTCATACCAGTTTATGTTATAAGTCGTTTCGGACACCTTCCCAGCCTACCACAACATCAAAATTTAAATAATATTAATTAAACGTTTCATGAAACATTATTCATACCGCTGTTGTAAATCTTTGCCCGATTGTATGGCTTATTAATAATGCCGAGAAGCTCATTATAATCAATAATACACTTAATAAATCCTTTCTCTAAAATATATAATATATATTTTATATATGTACAATTAATTAATGACAATTAAGAATCACAAACCAAAGCAAAGTCGGTGATTGACGCAGTTAAACAAATTGAATGAAACATTTTTACGGGTACTAAGAAGTTAATGAAGAAATTTTTGGTGATTTGGAACACCCTAAAACATTAATTACGCAATTAAAAAATTATTAAATAAATTTTCAGGTAATACCTGAAAAAATCTTGTTGATACAAAACGATCGGTCGTAAAATGCGATAGTTTCTTTTCTTATTTTTTGATAAATGTATGTTAGAAATCAATTCTTGAAGGATTTCAGTCCGGGCGATCAATAATTCGAACGAATAAACATAGAGTAGCGTGTAAAGAATAGCTGCGTTCAATACAACATTAATCGAATATATTTGAAATAATATTATTAAAAATATTATTCCCCTGTGCTCCAATTGAAACGGAACGTAATACTCAAACATAAAGCAGTGTTTAGTGATCATAAAATTAATACATTTATTCTTCCACATAACGTAATACGAAATGACGTTTGCAGAAATAAACGCGACGAAACGAAACGTTTTCAACAAAGATTCCATATTTTTCTCAAGAAATGTAACTCGTTTGGTTACATTATTATGATTGAAATCACTTAATAGATTAAGCATTTCGAATAAAGCATCTCGGTTCCTAAGCAGTTGGATGTTATAAGTGATAATGAGCCCAGCCAATGAAAGAAACTTAATGTTAAATAAGCATTTTGAAACGTCCTCCTTAAAATCTGAAAAATATTAAAAAGAAAGTATCAAACAAAATTTTTTTCTGTTAATACTCACTTGATATTTCCTTAAATATTGGGCGAATCCCCAAAATTATATTTAGAGTTAATATGATAGCGGGTAGGAGTCCTCGAAATCCTCGCGAAATGGGCCAAGTTTTACATTTCAAACAATATCTCTTTAAATGGTAAAAACCGAGGTCTTTCGACATCTTCACTGAATTAAGTTATTAAGGGTAATGTGATTAAGAAAGCAACGTTATAAACGCAACCATAATAATGGATTTCTTGGTAATGGATTTGTTAATGCATCTCTGAAATAATTAAGTTGTATCGGATAATGATTGTAACAAAACAAATGGTATCTTAAGAACAATAAAATTTTTTCAAAAACGGTTCGTTTCATTAAAAAGGTGACATTTTCTTCTATAATTACTGAAAATTTCACAATGATGTCTTTAAAAATTGATTTTTTATGATTTTTTGAAATCGATTCGAGAATTAACTTAAAAATAAAGAAGCGATGACACAAAAAATTTAATATCACAAGAAGTAAAAAATATTTCGAAAAACGGATTTTTTTATTAAAAAGATTATAGTTTTCTTTATAAGTGGTGATAATTTCATAGCGATTTATTAAAATTTCGATTTTATACGATTTTTTAAACCAAGTTGACAATTTTTAGAAGAAAAAGAAGAAGAAAACAATATTTATTTGGACTTATATAAAAATTATAACAATAAGAAATACGAAAAGAAATACATATATCAAATAAATATAAAAAAAGAGTCCAAAAGGGCTATAGACCTCAGTCTTCCTGCCCGTGACTTTGAATTCGGTTTGGTTGTACTTGGGTCTTTTCAGTTGGGCCTTATTTTTTTAAGAAGTGTGAGCCGTGTTATGGGACAGAGGGTAAACGAAAGGGGAATGATGATGAGATTTTTTAAGGCGTTTTTGGGGAAGTTCATAATTGCTTTAAGGGCTAAGGATTGTAGACGGAGTTTATAGGAGGAATCTTTGTGAGGTCGTAAAGGAGTTCGTTGGAAGGGTTGAAAAGTGGGTTGTGAGGGTGTCTAATGCGGGTGATAATTCTCAGGGCTGCTCTCTCTGCTACTTCCAGATGTTACTGTGATCCTCTCGGCGCTTCAGTCATGATTAATGAGGCATATTCGATAATAGGTCGACATATTGAGGTGTATATGTGAGTAGCGCATTTGATGGATATCCCTCGACCTCTATATGAGAGTGAGCGGAAGTGTTTGGCGCGGTATTTGACTTTCATTTTTACTTTGATGGCGTGGGCAGAGAATTTAAGGGTTCTATCCAAGGTAATGCCGAGGTAGTTGCAAGTTGGTGACGCTGTGATAGGAGAAGATTGAATTATTATTGTGGGAGGAGCAACGCGAATAGGGTAGAAGGGGATGAAGAATTAGGTTTTGGAAGGATTTATTAGGATACGCCATTTTCGGTACTATTCCTCTATGTTTTGGATGAGCGTCTGCAGCCTTAGGATTGATGATGGAATGTCTACATCATGTGCGACGAGAGTCAGATCGAAGACGTCTGGGTTGTCGTTGTAGATGTCATGGCAGTAGACGTTGTACAGGATGTCCCAATTTCGATGTCCGCATAGGCTATCTCCGAAACTAAAAGAGATAGAAAAAAAGTAGCTTACATGTCATGATCTCGTTTTTCGAGAAAATGCTAATGCCGAAAACTCCGAACAGCTATCGTCTTTTGTTTTCGCCCTATCGGCAAAAACTGAAAATTTTGCGAAAACGACAATCGCGAATATCTCACTTATTATCAAAGATGGAGTATTATAAATAAAACATTATATGGGCAACTTTTTACGAAGAATTCAGTGGCGTAGGTAGAATTTTTTTCCCATCTTTTATTTTCGAGATTTTAGACGTAACTTTATTTTTTTAAATGGAAACCATAGTTGGCTATGACTTAAAATAATTTGTTATTTTCTTCTGATAACAAATATATATAGTTTGTGGGGTATATTTCTTATAGTTATTGAATAATTAACAAAAATTCATTTTGTTC